GGTAGCTGAAAGCAAGGGTAAATGAAGGTGGGGATACGCGCAGTAGCCGCGGGGCGCGAAGGCGTTCTCCGCCTCCCCGCGGCTGCGCTAGCGCGTTGCGTGCTGGGCGTACGCCGGCGTCGGCTCGAGGAGGGCGTGCGTTCTTGGAGGAGGGTTTTGTTTGCGGCCACCGTCTTGTTGGAGTCGTTGTGCTCGTCAAGAGTGTAGTACCGAAACCCGAACCGACCCCGAAACCCGAACCGAAGCCGATTGACCGAGTGCACAGTAGTTTTACGAGGTTGAGTGTAATTAGCTTAGCCGAACAGGGCTTGTGTCCTGGAGCTATGGGCGGCAAAGAACAGAGGGCTGACCGCTTGATCTGTTGTACAACAGCTCGCTCTTTTGTTAAGACGCCTACAGCTCGAAGCCGATCCGAAACCCGAACCGAAAGTAGTATAGAAAATCACGGGAAGTTGGCTGCCGTGAGAAAACCGGCGTCCAAGACGACGCCTGCGGTAGTAAGCCCATTCCCCCGGGGTAGTTACTGTTTAGCGACCGAGCATCCAGCGCGTTGCTAGTGCTTCCAGTGATTGCCGAAAATCCAGATCCATCCGCCGTAGGTGACACCTAGCCGCGCGGTGGTGGTACCTTCCCACCAAATCGGTTGGGTGACAAAGGAGTGAAAGAAGAAAAGAGTTGTTCCCCGCCGTCGGCTTCCCCGTTGGCCGATCTTTTAAGATAGTGACGATAACGGCGCCGCGCCTGCGATAGCTGTTAACGCTAGCCACTTGCATCTCGATCGGCTGTCCCCGTTCTCACCGGTCGGACGCTTATATGCCTACTCTTGCCGAGGGGGGCGGCGAAATATGACAACGATGACTGATCCAACAAACACAAATGAAAAAACCGTCGTAGCGCGAGTTCTCCCGTGTGTTTTGAGGGTTCGCCCCTTTGCCTGGTTGGAAAAAATATCCTCCAAGCTCTAGTCGAGCAGTAGCAGGACGCCATCTGTCGGAATTTCTCGCCGAGTGTTATGCGTTTGAATTTTTTGTTTGGCAGATTGGTTCTTACGTGCTGCGTGCATTCACACACCTAGCCCCGTTTTTCTGTCTCCGCGGACGAAGTAGAAATAGAGCTTGAAGTGCAGCGGGCACCGCCGGTTGCCATCACCGGTCACCGTATCAGTAGAGGTCCAGGGGGTTCCATAGCGGTACAAACGACCCGTGTTTGCGCGGACACCGCAAGCCCGCTTGGAAATCTAAAGCAACATCCAGCAGTATGGTAGTTTTGTGCACACGTATTGGGTGGGCAGTACAGTACGTCAAGTAGGTGCCAACAATGAGTGCACTGTGACTATAGTAAGCTTGCCGCGCTCCGCGCGCAAGCTCGCTCCCGTAATTCCCTTTATGTGCCACCAGGTTACGCGTTCCTGGCTACATAGGGGCGTGGTCAGACCTTCCTGTCGGCGGAGATGAGAGGGGCGCATGTTTACGTGCGGTCGAAGGAGGAGTGCTGGCAGCTGGGGGTGGTGCATCAGGTTTCGAGGGCGCGGGAGGAGGACCTCCCGTGCAACGTCCATTTCGTCGACCTCGAGCGGCGTTTCAACGTGTCGCCGTCGCCGGCGGAATATTTTTCAGCGGTGGATGGTCCGCCTGGCCCATGGTGCTTTCTGGTGCACATGCGGTCCGGGAGCGTCCGGCGGAACGGGACCTGAGGGGTGCGCTGTGGCGGAGGTTTTGTCGTGGTGGACGGGGACCGCTGCGGTGGAGAATTTTCGTGGCAGAAGAGGCGAGCACGTCGGCGCCTAGGGGATTTTCGTGGTGGTGGAGGGAGCGAGACGGCACCTCGAGGGTTTTTCAAGGTGGAAGGGGAGAGCAACACGGCGCTTCGTACGACTGCCTACGACCTCGTCGGCGCTTCGAGCACCTTCAAACGACCCCGCGGCGCTCTCCGTAACTTCAAACGACCTCGCCGGCGCCCTTCGAATTCTTTTTCTTTGTGGATGTTGTGTGTGTTCCGGATTTTGTTGTCTTTGGTGTTGCCTTCTGATGCCGATGATGTTTTATTCCGGTGTGGTGTGTCGGTTGTTGCTGTTTGGCTCTAGGGTCTTGGTAGCGACGTGCCATCCTTCTTCGGGAGGATGAGGGGGAGAGGCACAGGCCATACAAAATTAGCCTGCGTTCAGTAGAAACTTGGGAGTTTTTGCCGAAAAAATGGTGGGCTGCCCCGCCTCA